CCAGAGCCCAGAGTGACGGGATGAGAGGGAGAAGCCAGAGAGGAACCTGTAGACGGGAGTGGGGTCCTCGGGCACATCAGTTTCAGGGACTTGTTGGCACCTGAATAGCATATGCTTTTAACTGGCGTGAAACGCAGAGCAACATCATGCTGTTGAGCATAGGAAAAAACGGACAGGACAGCTCTTAAGGAACTAGTGTGCAGGGGCCAAGTGTACTAATGGATAAGATACATGAGGTGACAGGGATACAGTTAGAAATGATGATGGGTTAGATGGGAGGGGGATAGAAATGTGGTGAGTGTGAGGGATGGACCTAGACTTTAGAGGGAGAGGGAACCGAATTCCCTGATGCACAGAAGGTGGAATTCAGAAAGAAACAGAGTACAAGGATGACTGCAGGACTCTAATGTTTCTCTTGAAAACTCCAAGGATGGTTTCAGGAACAATCTTTTAACTCCTCAAATGAATGTCTTAGAAAGCCTAACTCTATACCTGTGGTTATAATGCCACTTGGGAATAGCAGCTTTGTCATGTTAATGAGGCAAAAAATAGTGGAAGGAATGGGTTGAGTCCATCTCTTTTGATATCTAAAGGGAGATAAGCAACAAGAAAGCAGAGATGCATGAAGACAGATGACCGGGCACAAGGAGATCAGGAAGAAACCAAAGGAGGAAGAAGCTGAAGAGAGACAAGGTCCTTCCTCTAGAGACAAGAGGGAAAGCTTTCCATTAGTGCCCATGATTGGAACCCACATTTATCGTCTCCAAAATTGTCAGAATATAAATTTCCACTTGTTAAAGCCATGTGCTTCTGAAACATTTCTTTTACTAGCAATGGTTGTTGCTGCTCTCGTTCGGTGCTGTCGAGTCATTTCTGACTCATACCAACCCCATGCACAGCAAAAGGAAACTGCCTGATCCAGCACCAGCCCCACAATCCCTGCTATATTTGAGCCCATCATCACACCCACCATGTCAACCCATCTCGGTGAAGGCCTCCCCATCTTTTGTCGACCCTCCACCCTACCAAGCATGACATCCTTCTGCAAGGAATGGTCCCTTCTGACAACATGACCAAAATAGGTGAGACGAAGTCTGGCCATTCTTGTTTCCAAAGGGGATTTCGGGTGTACTTCCTCCAGCACAGATCTGTTAGTTCTTTTAGCAGCCCATGGTATTTTCAGCATTCTTCGCCAGCACCACAATTCAAAAGCATCAACTTTTTCTCAGTCTTCCTTATTCATTGTCCAGCTCTCACATACATACGAGGCAATGGGAAATATCATGGCTTCTGTCAGGTGCACCTTAGTCCTCAAGGAGACATCCTTGCTCCTCAGCACTTGAAACAGTTCCTTTGTGGTTGACTTTCCCACTGCTACACATTGTCTAATGCCCTAACTGCTGCTTCCACTGGCATCGATTGTACAACCAACCAATGTGAATTCTTCGACAACCTCAACCTTTTCTCCATTTATCGTGATGCTGCTCATTGGTCCAGTTGTGAGGATTGTTTTCTTTCTATTGAGACATAATCCATACTGCAGAGTCATCATCAGTAAGTGCCTCAAGTCATCCTCATTTTCAACAAGCTAAGATGTATTGTCTGCATACCTCAGGTTGATAATGATTCTTCCTCCAATCCTGATGCCACGTTTTTCATCATATAGTCCAGCATCTAGGATTATTTGCTCAGCATATAGATTGAATAAGTACGGGGAAAGGATACAACCCTGATGCACTCCCTTCCTGATTGTAAACCAACTAGCAATGGTGTGCCATTAAAATAGAGGTGGAAATCAACAAGGGGAGAACATTTACTGCATTGGACACAGGTTACTCACACTATGTTGAGGCCGAAATGAGACTAATACATCAAAGTAAAACATTGCAATCCTACAAGAAACGCTACTCAGCAATTAAGGAAATTAATGGCCAAGGAAAGAGTTTTCCTAATCTAAATTTAAACTAAGGGGATTATCTAAAGAGCACAAAAAGGATTATTTGATTGGCATACAACATAAAAGCTAACAAAAAGAGAATACATTGACTTAGGGATACACTCTTGAGAAAATGACAATTCATAAGCTAACCAGATGAAAGAAATGAAATCCATATGCATACTCAGTGGGACGAAAAGTTGTAAACCTTCATGCACATTTCCTACTAAATGTGAACAAGGCCTTTTCCCCATCTGTAGAGTCACTGTCCAGGAGTACATGGAGCTTAGAGAGAAAATGAGTAGAATAGCACCAATCCCCACCAGCGTACAAATGACATGTGAACCATCCACATCCTGGGAGCTCTACAATGGCAGGAAGACTGTGGCCATTCAGACAATGGGGACAAAGGCACATGGGTAGACCAGAGCCACAGACACCAACACGTCAGAAACTCAAAAGCATCCTGAGGAACCAAGTAACCACAGAACCAGACAGAGGAGTAATCCAGCTAAAAAAGCTCAGGACAGGTTGAACTGCATGATACAGAGTTTATGAATGAAGACCTGCAGGAGAAAGCTGTCATAACAGCAATAATGTGGGTCACAGTCATCAACTTCTACGACAAAGAGTTAATTAGCTCCACACAGCAGAGGAGGTCAGGGTGGACACAAAGGGAGGCAATGCAAACTGAACAAGGGCTACTTTTACTATCACTGAGACTCAGATCAGTACTTACATTGCTCAAGAAAAATCTATGTAACAAAACAAACGCATATGTGGTGAACGTTAACATTAGGTATATACACTCCTTGAAGAGATCCATCACTGCAGAACAGAAGGGCTGTGTATGCAAAGGGAAACAGCTAGGGGGCAGGAGTGCATGGGTGGGAAGGACACAGGGAAGAGGTAACTATGGGAGGAAATAGGAGAGGAAGTGTTGCATTGCAGGAAATTGTAGTCAATATCATGAGACGAAGTATATGTGACCTATTGCAGAGAAAGTAAATTTGCTCTGTAAACTTTCACCAAATCACAATCAGAATTTTTGAAAAAGGTTTACAAACACTCTGTTCGATAGAGTTGGGAACAGAGAGTTTAAAGCAATATTTAAACCACAAAAGTACTATCACTTTCATAGTACAAGTATAAAATGTTATTTTGATTTTACTTCTCTCAGTTCAGAGAGGATTTTAAGCTAAACTATTAATACCAGGATGTTAGGAATTTACATGCTTCACTATTAGACCAAGAGGTGTAAAAGCAAACTTATGACCACAAACCAAGCGTCCGTTCACGGTGATACAGCAAAAAACAACAACAAAACTAAAGTCAATCATATGTAGTTGTCTAGAGTTTTATAAAAATTTAGGAATAAGCTCTCTATACTCCTATGGTAACATCAAGTTAATTTGTTCTACCAAAAGAAGTACGAAATTCCATACTATCATTCGTATACCTACAAGAATTACAATAATGTCTATTTGCCTGCTTTTAATAACCACAGGCAAGATGCTTCAGAAAGGAAGAAACCTGGTTGTTTCAAGAAGACTGAGAGATGAGAGGGGCTGGATGAGGACAAGAGCAGGAACAAGTCTTCAAAAGTACACATTGAAACTTGAGAATCAAACTCTGAAAGTATTGTCTGTGGCAAAAATATAATTTAAATCAACTCCATTTTCTTCAAAACCTGTTGTAAGTCAAATGAGCTGTTACGTGTTTTCACCAGGACCTCATGTGTATATTAAAATCACCAAAAACTTAATCACGTAGGCTCCAACAGTAAACAAATGGTATAAGGCACCTGTGCCAACAGCAAATCCCAAGTCTTTCTAAACACAGTCACCAGGGACACATCAGCATCTGTACGACCCCTTTATCACAGCTAGGAGAGTGTTTCTAAACTGACTCCAAATTCAACATACACGGGTCCTGCCATGACTTCTTAAACGTAGTAGGTATCCTTGAGAACCTTTTCAAGATTTTAATATCCTCTACAGTGCCTTCCACACGAATGACAAGAGGTATTCCTGCCTTTGAGATCTGTCAATGCATTACAAAGAAAGATTCTCAAGAGAAACACCCCACGTGGTGAAGAGATTTACTCTCACTGTAAACTGCAAACCCAAGAAATTCAAGACATCCATCTCACAGGCTGAGCTTCCCTAACAAAAAACAACACTGTCATTGTTGCTTCTTATTCAAGACAATGGCAAAGAGTCAAAAATCACAGGGATTAAACACCAGCTCTCGGCCAGGTGGGCAGACAAGCACCTAGACTGGGGATCGAGGATTTCCAAAAACATGAAGCTCTAAAGGCAAAAGCATTCCCTGCTGGAGAGAAAAACAAAATGGGAATAGAGAGTCCACAGAGAGTCCAGCATGACTCAGTGTGCCCAGTTTCCTACCATGACTGACATCAGGAGAGCACCAACACCACCCAGGAAGTCAGAGATTTCATCTAACCCATAATACAGTGCGAGAGGGGAAGTGGTTCCTTTAGCACTGCAAACTTTTAAGAGACACACGACAAAGATGGCTCGCCAGGGCCGGGTCTCAGCCACCACCTCCAGAGCTCCTCTGTCATTGGGCTCTTGTCAGGAGACCCTGGAATTGAACATACAGCACCAAGGCCCAGGGTGGGGATGGAAATGTCCTATGGTGCCAACTCAGAGAGTCACATGAGCAAGCTGACCCCAGAAATTCCAATCTCGAAAAGTCGCATTTGTATAGAGAAGGGGCCCAGTCACAGTTCCACCCAGGGCTCAATCCCTTGCTCTCCTGGGTCATCTCTTCATTACCCAATCAGCCCTACAGTACACACCTTGAACCCCAACAGTTCACATCCAGCCTCACCGTCTCCTGAGAAACAAAACTCACCATGTGTTCTCCACCCTCTGCACGTTCAAAGAATATCCCATCGAAACCCAAACCACTTCAGGAAGAAGGATGGCAATGGAGTCACAACACCAGGCCGTCTGGAGGGGGATGAATTGAGTTTGGTCCAAGCACCACGCACAGCAATTGAAATCCTTCCTTGGGATTTACAGAAGCGCAAGAAGCGTCACTTTCCTGCCCCAGACACATGGACTGGACGAGTTCTCCGTGTCCCGCGCTGGAGACCTGAAACGGAGGAAGGATGGGGCTGAGACAGTGGGGAGTGAGCAGGAGTGACTGGGGTCTGGGCTCCTCCCAGGCTCAGGGCCACGGTCCAGCCAGCGGGCATCTCCACTGAAGGCGGACAGGCTCCAGAATGGAAGCCCCAATACAACACCTGTCACCGGTCCCGGACGGGGACGGCCTCCTCGCCTGAACCTCCATTTGGGAATGACCAGCAGCGCTCACCACAGTCACTCCTGAGGGGGCCCAGAAAACAAAGAGGAGCCGTTTCCGGTAGAAAATTGTGGTCGGGACCTCGCCGCTGAGGGAAGAACACACCGGACACTGAGTTCACACACGGGCCCTTCCTAGACCCCTGGACACGGGAGGGGCCCCGACACGTTACCTGCTCCCGCCCGGAAAGACGCAGGGCCCTCCCCGCTGCTCGGGTCCAGAAAGCGGCTACCGTCGCCTGCGGGACCAGACCCTCGGGGGAAACCGCAAAGGAAACAGGCCCAAGGCGCACTGACAAAAACGTACCTCCCACAGGATTAGGCTCAGAGAACCTGGCAGCTGCTGTCCTAGCCAAGGACGCTCATGACCACTTCCGGCTTCCGGCAGCTCGGTGCAGCTAAGGACGAGTGCCCGGGGGAAACATCGAGTGCTCCCCCTGGTGACCTGGGGATTCAGTGGTTCCGGTGCAGGCATTGTACCTATCAAGACACTGCTTACCTCCTCCCTAGAGGAAAGCCTAGGGGTTCTTCAATCTCTTTATGAAGTGAAAGTGCATGTCAGTAATCTTTTACTCCCTCAGGGAGTGGAGGAAGTTCCTAATGGCCCACTTGGCTGTGTAATAAAATTTTATCTTTTTATAAATGAAATAATTTCTTTACTCCTCTTAAGTATTTCCACACTTGAGAATTGTAGAAGTCATTTCACCTCTGTTTCCTGGTCTGTTGTCTCCTGCATGTTAGTTTTGTCTGTCTAGGAGCAGGACCCAGACTGTGCAAACCCAGTCTGATCTCTCTTAGGGGCTGGAGACCCTGAAGAGAGGAGTTTTTCAAAGTGAGAAGCACAAAGGCGCCAGTCATAGTCAGGGCCAGAAAGCAAAGGATGAAGTACTTTTGAAAATGTGGACGATGAATAGTTTTTACTTTTCTCTCATATATATACATATACAATAAAGTTCATGACATGTTCTAATATTAAGTGTACAAGCACTATCTGGATACAAAGTATTTTAACTCGGTTTCTGCATTCAGGAACTTTCCACAGTACTTGAAACTTGTTTTGGGGAGATCTGGTGGCATAGTGCCTGAGGCATTTGACTGCTAACCAGAAGGCTGGCGCTTCAAACACATCAGCCCCTCCTCAGAAGGAAGATCAGGTAATGTTCTTCTGTAGTGATACTGCTTCAGAAAGCCAAGGAGGGGTCTTTGTGAGTTGGATCTGACTCAGCGGCAGTGTGTTTGGTTTTCTTGAAACTTATTTTTCATAAACGAGCAGTTAAAAGCTGGAAATAAGTCCAAAACATTTCTACCACATTTGGCACACAGGACATTCGCAAAAAGCCCTAGCCGTGTCTTCAAAATGACCTAGGACAGGAAAAACACTCCCATAGAAATTTCTAAGACTGTCTCTTATTTTTTAACATGTGGTATCACCGCTACAGTTGCACCTGGACCACCCTGAAATCACTATGCATACGATTGCCCAGAACTTAAATGAATATGTATAGCTTCGTTTTTCATTCCCTTTCAAATCAGTATGGTAGACTCCAATGAGAGAGTCAGATTTGAGGATGCCTCCTCCTACTGGATCTTTATCTACCCACTGCACCCCTGAGAGACTCCTAAGAAGTCCTATAGGTCTCCTATTACACTCTGCTGCCCTCTGAAATCAAATTAGAGAAATTTTCAAGCACAGAAGATTCCATCTCGCCATTTGCCAAGTTCACATTCACACATTGGGTAAACACTGTTTGCATTATGGTTGCAGACAAGATTTACCGATTCTTGGGCTTCATATAAGGAAAACAGTAATGTATGAATATATACTGCCTGAGACTTCGTCCAAAAAAAAAACGACTCATTGCCGTGGAGTCAAAATCAACTCATAGTGACACCTGCTTGGCGAACTGGAGGTATTTCTATGGAAGTCATCTTCATAACATAAATTCTGTGACATCTTATCCATGTTGTTGCACACAGTGGTAATTTGTTTGTCTTGTGATTGTGGCTGTACTAAATGGATGACTACACCAGTTTTTCTATGGAATTTATTCATTCACTGTATTCTGTTGTTGTTGTTATGTGCCATCGAATCAGACCCGACTCATAGCTACACCTCCTTGGGTTTACAAGGCGTTTCACTACAGAAGTAGATTGCCCAACCTTCCTTCCGAGGAGTGGCTGGTGGGTTTGAACCACCAGCCTTCTGGTTAGCAGTCAAGTGCCTTTAGGTACTACGCTACCAGAGCTCCCATTCTGTTGTTAGTGTGTATTATAACCCAGCATAAGCTCTATCTTGAGGATTATTTAATAATGCATACATGGAAGTAAGCACCTATGGTGGTGTAATGGTTAAGGCATTTGCTGCAAACCAAAAGGTCAGTGGTCAGAAACCACCAGCACCTCCACAGAAGGATAACAAAGCAGATTTATAAATTTGGAAACCATATGGGTGTCGCTATGAGTTGGAATCAACATGACTGCAAGGACATAGTTGTTGTTATTGTTTTCAGTTTTTCTTTTTAGAAATAATGTGTCATATGCTATTTTTTGGTAGCAAGTTCAATAAATCTCAACGACATCAGATGGTTGATGGTGTGGTTCAGGTCTTCTATATACTAGTTGACTGCCATATCCATGGAACGGGGCAAAGATGTTAGTAAGAACCTAGTCTGGTACACTAAAACAATTAGATGGAATCCGTAAGGTTCAGTGCTGGGAAGAGAAATCAGGCCAATAGAATTTTGCAAGAAAGTTTATGAAAGCATCTGCACGTAGACACGTCGAGACCAGAATGGTGGTCTCAACCACCATTGAGACGCCTGAGGTGAGCTCAACAATGCGTGGCTCCAAGGTGGGCAAATTGGGAGGTGTAAACAGAATGGCAAGAAGCTCACGAGCAGTTCTTCTGTGGTAGAGCAGAGCACGGCTGTCTTGGGAGCAATGGTCAAGACAGTGGATGTTCACCGCTATTCTTGGAACTGTTACCTTCAGTCGTTCATTGCAATTCTGTGTTTCTTGTCCATCCAATTCTTAGAACAGGGTTGTGAGCATTATCCTGTTATTTAGTTTCATTTTGGAGAGAAAAAGGATGAAGATGAAAGCATAAAAAGAGCATGAGAATTCTAATCCAAGGCTTGAATCTATTAAAACCGGCATATTTTTAGGGACTCAAGGATAGAAGAGCCATGAAGAAAGGACCATGAAATGCTCGGGAAAGTTGTTTCCTGTTAAAATCAGGGGCTCTGGTAGCATAGTGCCTAAGGCATTTGACTTCTAACCAGAAGGCTAGTGGTTCAAACCCACCAGCCTCTCCTCGGAAGGAAGATGAGGCAATGTACTCCCGTAGTGATACTGGCTCAGAAACCCAAGGAGGGGTTGCTGTGAGCCGGGTCAGACTCAACGGCACATAACAAAAACAACAAATTCAGGGGCAGGTCACATTCCATATGTGTGTTGAAGATACTGTCGGAGAGAATGGACATATTATTATTATTATTATTTGTGATTTGGGTGAAAGTTTACAGGGCAAATTCACTTTCCATACAGCACTTCACATACATTTTGTCCAATGACTTTGACTACAATTTACCACAATGCAACAGCTCACTTTCCACTTCCTCCCTATATTTAGAGAATAGACAATTCTTGCAACACAGAATGTCTCACTTCTTGATTGGCCTTTGCTGCAAGGTCTTGGGGTTATAATTTGGATCAAGACGAGATATTCATTATTCTGATAACAATCCCTATGAGAAACAGCAGAGAGACCAGTGGCGTGAATGGGACTTCAATATTGTAATACACCATTACCTAAGGTTGTTATGCTCAAGAAAGCTGGAGACTGCTTTGTTTTCCAGTTCAAAGCTGAGAGTCTAATTCCAGCTCAGCCACATACCAGCCAGGACTTTTGGGTCAAGACACCACATCTCCCTCAGTCTCAGTTTCCTTTGATAGGAAATAAGAGTTAAAATAGTACCTTCTCTGTAAGTGGAGATTATTTTCTTGTTGTGCATCTTTCGTTCATCCCTTCCTCTTCCTTTAGGTAATGATATTGTGACTTACCTTTGGGGCATGGTCTCTCCTTTAATTTGAACCAAAGAATTCAATTAAGAATCACTACTTTCTGAGCTGTAAGACTAAGTATGAGGCAAATGCCTGGTACTAAGAGAACCCTGGCCACAGGAATTGGTTCAGCAACAGCACAAAGCCAATCAAAAAGTATTCTGGGATGTCTGATGAGTTTCTTGGGAGAAATTCTCTACACATCTTCACTCAATTGGATGTAAACATGGAGACCTGAGGGTACCACTCAGAATAACATGAACAGAGTCTAAGGATGAAGCAACTTTAAAATAAAAATAATGATAATATAAAATGCACTGCCATCAAGTCAATTCAGAATCATAGCAACTCCTTTGGGTTTCTGAAGTGGTAAATCTTTACAGAAATAGACTGCCCACTCTTCTGTATGCTGAGTAGCTTCTGGGTGTCAACCAACAACCTTCTGGTTAGCAGTCAAATACTTAGGAACCACAAAAGCAGAGCTCCTCTGAAGTAACTAATACTACTCCACACCATACTCAAAAACATCAAGTCAATTCTGACCCATAGTGACCCCTCCTTGGATTTCTGAGGTAGAGTCTCTATGGAAGTAGAATACCTAGTCTTCCTTCCAAGAAGTGGCTGGTGGGCTTGAACCCTCAGCTTTCTGGTTAGCAGTCCAGTGCCCTAAGGACTACACCACCAGACCATATTAGGGGGAAATAAATCACAGAGAAATAACGTATTCTCATGGTATCATTGAGCCTGAAGTGGATACAGCCATGTGGTTATGCAGTTGTCCCAAAAACTTCCAAGCATACAAGCCATTTTTATTTTTACCTTAAATTTTTTGATTTGTACTTTTCCCAATTGCAAACTTCTTCTTTTTTTAAAAAAATGTCGGGTTATTGGAATCTTAACATCACATTATACATTTAAAATTTTTCACCAAACTACTGACAGAGAATAACTGGCCAATAAAAAATATACTCCTGTTCCTACTAATTATTATTATCATTGGTATTGCTGAGTAAGATACATTTTGATTTTCTGCACCATCTAAGAGAAAGATGGAATAATTTATCATCTGAAAATCACTGTGGGAATAAGTCAGAGAGTAATTTTGTATACTGTTAAAATATTTTATTTGACAACACAAGGTGGTTGGAAAATGTACGCTCAAGAAAGCAGGAAGAGGAGCAGACCCTTTGTGTCATTTACAGACACTGTGATTTGTCTTTCCAGTGACTTGGTAGAAAGGCCAATAGAGAGCTTTTAAAGTGGAGGCTGAACTTACAGAATATCATTGTTGTAGGTAATGAACTCAATTGACCAAAGATCCATGGGCAGGAGGATAAAGAATAAAAATAGGAACATATATCATGCTGCATCCAACCACATAGCTTCTTGAACAGTGATAGAACAAAACTTGTGGTCTAATATTTTGTTCATAATTTATGAGCCATTTTCTGGGCTCACACACTTATAGATGCTACCAACTACCAAGTTCTTGAACTAATCATCAAGCTGGAAGCTTTTCCCAACCCATGTAGCTGCAGGGGATGAAAAGCTCAAGGTTGGCAGGCAGTGTACCGCCGGTTGACTCCAATGAACAATGAATACAAGACCTCCATGCTGATTGGTGGATTGTTTGCTCATGGAAAGTTGTAGGCAACACAAGAGTATCCCGATCCACACAAGAGTGTCTCCTCTCCCCGGATGTCCATTAAGATATTGGAAGGAGGCCAAACCCCTAGGGAAACTACCTTTCAATGGACTGGCTGCTCAAAACATATACATCTGATCCTATCATGGGAATAACCACATCACAGTTGTTTAAACCACACAGAATTTTGGTCCAGGCAAGTTGATACCAGCTTCAACAATCACAGGCAAGTCCCAATATGAGAATGTACAGCTATAAACATCCATTAATACTTGGAACATGGAATGTATGAAATATGAATCTAGGAAAACTGGAAGTGGTCAAAAATGACACAGAACGCATAAAGGTCAGTATCCTAGCCATCAGTGAGCTGAAATGAACTGATTTTGGCCATTTTGAATCAGATGAACATATGATCTACTATGCGTGGAATGACAAATTGAAGAATGGTGTGGCATTCATCATCACAAAGAATGTATCAAGATCAATCCCAGAGGACAATGCTGTCATTGACAGGATAATATCCATACGCCTATGAGGAAGACCACTTAATAATACCATTCAAATTTATGCACCAACCATCAAAGCCAAGATGAAGAAATTGAAGACTTTTACCAACTTCTGCAGTCTGAAATTGACCAAACATGCAATCAAGATGTGTTAATTATCACTGGTGAGTGGAATGCAAAAGTTGGAAACAAAAAAGAATCACTGGTAGTCGGAAAATATGGTCTTGCGGATAGAAATGAAGCTGGAGATTGCATGACACAATTTTGTAAGACCAATGACTTCCTCATTGCAAATAAATTTTCCTCAACAACACAAATAGTGGCTACACATGTGGAGTTCATCAGATGGAATACAAAAGGCTCCGATTGACTTCATCTGTGGTAAGAAGCAATGGAGAAGCTCAATATTCACCCAAAACATTGTCAGGAGCTGACTGTGCAACACACAATCAACTTAACATATGCAAGTTCAAGTTGAAGCTAAAGACAATTAAAACAAGTCTACAAAAGGCAAAAGATGACCTTGATAAGATCCCTTCTGAATTTAGAGACCATCTGAAAAATAGATTTGATGCATTGAACACCAATGACC